TCCCCTGTTTCAGTCTGAACCCATCACCCCTTCTCCTGTCACTGCAGTCCCTAATGAAGAGTCCCTCCCCAGCATCCCTATAGCCCCCTTCAGACACTGGAAGCTGCTCTGAGGTCTCCATGCAGCTTCTCTTCTCCAGGCTGAACAGCCCCAATGTTCTCAGCCTGTCTCCATACAGGAGGTGCTGCAGCCCCTGAGCATCCTCGTGGCCTCCTCTGGACTTGTTTCAACAGCTCCATGTCTTCATGCTGAGGACCCCACAGTGCTGCAAGTGGGGTCTCACCAGAGCAGAGCGGGGCAGAATCCCCTCCCTCAACCTGCTTCTTGGGCTTGGGCTTGGCAGGTTGGTCCCATTAGGTTTAGAGGTCGTTTCATAGTTGACAGGCACAAGGCTCAAGGTGATGGTGAAATGGTCAACCCTGAAATGAATACCAGTATCAGTTTTCCTTTAGCGCTGTGCCTACAGAATGGCAATCATATTGGATGGTCCTTATGGGTCCTTTCCAACTGGAGATATTCTATGAATCATGGAATGGTTTGGGTTGGAAGGGACCTTAAAGCTCATCCAGTTCAAATCCCCTGCCACAGGCAGGGCCACCTTCCACTAGAACAGGTTGAAATGCAAGTACAATTAAATAAGAGTATCCCATAAGATACCACTTGGACATAAAAATACTGCCATAAAGTAGCCACAAAAGCTCTTTTCTCCAGGGATTACATGGCCAGGCACCTCTGCATGGTTCCCATTTGCTCACATGGGTCTGTGCCACCACACTAGTGCTCCCTGGGTGCTGCAGCATCCCCGGGCTCAGGGCCCAGCCAGGTGCTCAGCAGCTTCAGGGACGCGTGGGGTCAGCTCTTAAAGCAGCACAGAGACAATAGGAGCCCTCCTGCTTTTCAGCCCATCCTCCTGACCACCCACCAGGGAAGAAGGGGGGAAAAAAAAGACAACAAAACAGCGAAAGCCCTGCCGGTTCCTCCGCTTTCGGTGACAGCAGCAGCGTTCCAACCCGGTGTTTCCTGCAGGTGTGCTCCTACAAACGCCGCCTCTGAGCTCAGCGTTTTCTTTAGTGCTCGGCGTTTTGCCTTTTCACCTCATAAAACCCTTTCAAGCTAAATAAACGTCCTCACAAGAGGACGCCGAGGCACAGCCCAGCTCCCAAAACCAACAGCCCGGGGTAGGACAAAGAGCAAAAATAGCAGCAGCATCCCCATCAGCGTCAGCGCCGCGGTGTCCGACCTTGCTGCCGATTTGGTTCAGTTGCAGCATCGTCCCGCTCGGCAGCGTTACAGCAAAGCAAGTGGTGGCCTGGGTGGATTAGAGGAGGGAGGGCGATCTTCAGGGACAACACGGGGTGCAGGGAGGGAAGGGAAAGGGTGGAGGTGGCTGGGAGGACCTGCCCCTGAAAGGGTATTACCATCAGTGCTTGCTGTCGCCCATATCCAAGTGGTAGGAGGTAGCTCCCACCACTGCACTATGGGGACGAGGTGTGCTCATGCTTGTAAACCACTCAGAGCCTTCAAGGGATGGAAAACGCTGCATGTTGCAGCTCTGAACCCCCAGCTCATGATGGCTGCAGCCTTTATCTTTAGAGCACGGAGCTCCTGCAGCTGGGGCAGCTTGCTGTGACCAAAGACGTGCTTGCATGTGCGTGATGGCAAGGGGCACATGGAAGGCAAGATGTGCACCACCGGTGCCTTGGCTTCGCATCCAGCCCGCTCTGACTTGATGGGAGAAGGGATGCACCAAAGAGAGTGTCCCACAGGGGGACATACAGTAAAGGGGAGATGAGATTTGGGTGAATAAGTCAAAGGCCTGACTTAGCCGCGCCGCCGCAGCTGTGCTCTTATCTGGCTGGAGGAAGAGGCTGAACAACAAAAGGGGCTAAGAAGCCGGGTTGATGCATGGGAAAGCCATTGGCCGAGCATTGTGGCTGCCCTTCTGCTGAGCAAATAGTTCAAACTGTTCATTCCCATCTCCTATTCTCTCCCTGGTACATTGTTTGTGTCCTTGCATTTCATTCTGCGAGGAAGATTGCTCTCTGGGCCTATAAGCAAACAGTCCAGAAAAGAGCCAACTATCCTCTCCTTTTCCCTGGAGAACTAGCATTTTTATTTCAGCTCCAAGCTGTCAAAGAGCTGGAGAGTTTATGTCAGTATCCTGAATTAATTGCTTTAAGCTGGAGCAGCCTATACCCGCCACCAAATGGCCAGAAGATGTTTATTAATAATGTTTCCTTTAGGTTTTTTGGGGGGTTTTTTGTTCCAAGCTGTGCTCTCACATCCAGTGCCCTCTATTAACCGCCGCCGTGGCGCCTGACGCCGGGTGAGGGTGGCGAAATGAAAGCTGCTTATAGGGAATTATGAACAGCTCCCGAGGTATTGTCAGCCCCCGGTGCTCAACATGTCGGCTGGAGGCTCGGAATCCTCCCACCAGGAGTTTTCGGGGGTCAGGAAGGAGAAGAGGAAGATGGATTGCTGGAGGGATGGAGAAGGACACAAATATCTTTGGTAATTAACCAAGGTAGCGAGGAAATTAGTGGTGGGGAAAACAGAAGCACATGCAAGGTAAATGGGTTTGTGTTTAAACACGGTACATTTTAGAGGGTTCCCCAGTGTGAAAGTCCCTGTTTAAGGGAATGAAGTAATAAACCAATTTATATACCAATAGAAAGTCGAGATCCTGAGTGCCTTTGTGTAAATTTTCCACTTGACTTTTCATTATCTACCTGAACAAAATCAATCTATATGTATGGGATCAACATGCAATATGAGAGATAAAAGACAAAATAAATGTGCTTTGCATATCCCACGGATAAAAGCCGCCGGCTCCGGGCGCTGCCTCCTTCCCAGGCAGATGCGTTTTAGGGAATAAATCATTTTGCAAGGGAAGGAGAGCCGGGCAGAGTGGTGCTTCTTAAGTGTTTACTCCCTCGCTTGAAATATTGATCCTGTCAAATGAACAGTGGTTAATAAGTAACTCGGGGAAATATGTCGGCTCTGCCTCTGCTCCCTGTGGGAGCAGGACCCATGGCTGGACCCTGCCCGGCTCCAGGGGAGCACAACCCGGAGCATCCTCACTGCAGGCAGGACCTCAGGGCAGAGCCCAGCCAGGCTCCCGGCCCCTTGCAGGGTGGAGAGGATGAACAGGGATGTGGCAGAGACAGCGGAGAGGGGACAGGTCCCTGCAACCCCAGGGAGCCCGGAAACCCCAAACCCTCCAGCACCCCAAACCGCACTGCATCCTAAACCCTTCCACATCCAAAGCCCTGCCGCATCCTAAACCCTGCTGCATCCCAAACCCTTCCGTGTCCCAGCCCCTTGCTCATTCCTCTTGCCCTGCCTGCAGACCAAGCTGCCATCCTAGCACATCAGTCGCTGACACACAGACACCTTGCCCTTGTCTTGCCCCAGCAGAAGCCATCCCTCACCCAAAATATCCCCAGTTTCATCTAAGGGAAGAGCATTGTCGTCGGATGGGGATCAGCTCTACTAAACTGGGTTAACGTGGAAACCAGAGTAACACTTTGGGAATGTGAGAGCTGAGGACATAGCGCAGAACAAGGAAAACGCTCCCAAATCTCTTCAAGCTGCATCAGCGAGCACAGGTTTGGCTTCAGCATCCCAGTGAAACCAGCAGGTAAAATACGTGCCCTGCACTCGTATAACCCAGAGCCTCACCAGCCTGGAGCAAGTGCCCTGTCCTGTCACCACAGCTTGGATGTCTTCTCTTTTCACCCATCCGTTCTCCTCCCCTCTCCCAGGACCTGGCTGGTGCTTGGCTTTTGGCCACAACAAAGCTCATCTGGTTTCATGGATCCCACCACCTTGGAGAGCTGGGGAATAGCATCCTCTCTTATTCTATGGTTAGGTGAAGAGGCAGGAACTCCTCGTGATTCCTTTTTTCCCCTTTAGTAACAGGATATAGAGAAGGTTAAGAGGTTCTTCAGCAGATACAACCCCCTCCCGGTCACAGAGGGTTCTTATGCTGCTGAAACCCAGCTCCATTCCTGCTTGATGTATCCCTCCTCCTCGCATCCTCAAGCACTCCACGGCCAGGGAAGCACCTGCCTCCTGTGGGGTTTATGTCTTTGAGTGTCTCTCCACACCTCCTGGCTCTGGCAGATGCACTGTGGGGTTGGATATGGGCTTTTCTCCAGGTCACGCATCAGATTTTTACCTTTCCTTATGCAAAAGGTCCTTTCCAGCCTTTTTTTTCCTCCTTGTCTCCCTAAAAATCCAGATGAGAGGGAAGCAACTGGGGAGGAGATGAAACAAAGGGAAAACCAGGGCACGCTGATGACTTTCCAAGCCGGAGTTTGTCAGGATGCTCCCAAGGAACATGCTCTGCTGTCGGCTCAACATCTGCAGCCATTTTATTAGTTTGCAAATGATGCCTCAGATTGGGCCCAGGGGTGACAGAAAGTCCTGGCAACCCCTCCTGAAATTAAACCCACCTTCTGCCCCCGTCCCACTGCATCCCCCCGGGGCCGTTGGCCTCGTGTCCCCATCTCCCAGGCTGTCAGCTCAGAGGGGATGCACCAGGAGCACGCATCCGTACATCCATCCCTTCCCATGGGACACCCATTTGCAGGCCACCAGGGATAGAAATACATTGAGTACAATGAGGGGTGCAGAGGAACAGAGGGGAGCTCCATGGTGGGGCATAGTAAAAAAAGCTTTGGCATAGGAAGGGGGTTAATCATCGTTTTGGGGGTATTTTATGGTTGCTTTCCATTCCAAAGCCCTTCCTGAGCTCTCTTTTAGCACAGCACCAACGCGCATCCCCCAAAGAGCCCCGCAAATCCATTAACTCCTCAACTTTCTCAAGGTGCTCTTATGATTTATGCTTCCCCCCACTCACTTCCTTGAAGCCTAAAAGTCTCCATCCCAGCAGAGCCCCTTTTGAGGCTGGGATAATGCTTCTCCCCATTCCCATCAGGAATTGCTGGAGCATGACACAGGTATCACGCACGAGTACAGACACAAAGAGGCAATCAGAGATGGGAATCTGTGGCTTTAATAAGGGATCTGTACACGGCAGCAGCACGCTCGGGGGAGCCCAGAAGTTTGCCCCAGCTCCCCCCGACACTGATTTCTTGTGCCATTATCACAACAAATGGGGGGGGGGGGGGGGGGTAAGTGCAGGCAGATGGTGAAGCCCCGCAGCTGACAGTGACACACAAACATTTCAGGGTCTCCAAAATCCTTCAATCTCGATGCTTTCAATACAGGGTGGGAAGTAAAATCACCGCATTCCCACTCCCCAGTGCTGTTTGCAGCTGTTTTCCAGCCGTGGAGAGATGAGGATCATTCTTTTTACTGCTGGTGTGAGGCAAAACCAGCAGGAAGCCACAGGGCGAGCACCTTACACGCTGGCATCGGTGGTAGGCAGTTTGGGCAGGTAGAGCTCTCCCTGCTGCAGAAATCCGTGTTACCTGCAGCGAGCGATGTGTCAGGGGCTTTCCTGCCCCCTGGTTTATTGAAACAAGGAGCCCGTGGCCAGCGGGGACCAGGAGGAGGGACCCGCTGCTGCGGTGCTCCGCCGGTGCCCATCCAAGTGGCATCGGGGCTGCCTCACCTGGCTGCGCTGTGCCCGGCCAGGGAAACGACTCCTCTCCCCTGGAAAGGGGCCCTGGGAGATGGGAAAGGGTAGAGTGGGAAAAGGTGGGATGTGAGGGTGAGGTGTGAGCATCGAGGGGGCAAAGGGAAAGAACGGGAAAATGGAAAGAAAAGGGGGGAATGAAAGAAGGGAGGAAAAAGGAAAGAAAGGGGGAAAAGAGAAAGAAACTGAAAAAAGGGAAAACGGGAAAAGCGAAAGAGAAGGAAATAAAGGGAAGGGAAAGAAAAGAATAGAATGACAGAAAGGGGGAAATGAAAGAAGGGGGTGGAAAAGGAAAGAATGGGAGAAAAGGGAGGAAAGTAAAAAAAAAAAAAAAACAGAAAAAGAAAAGAAAGGGGAAAAAGGTAAATAAAGGGAAAAGGGAAAGAAATTGGATAAAAGAAAAAAGGGGAAGAAACTGGGAAAACGGAAAAAATAGGGAAAGGGAAAGAAGGGAAAAACGAAAGAAATTGAAAGAAAGGGGGGAAAGGGAAAGGAAAAGAAAGGGGGTAAAGGGAAAGATGGGGGAAAGAAAAAAAGCTGGGGAAGGGAATAAACGAAAAAGGGAGAAAAATAGGGGAAAGAATGAGGGAAACGAAAGAAATGGAAAGAAAAGGAAAGAAATTGAAAGAAAGGGGAAAGAGGAAAGAAACTGAAAAGGGGAAGAAAGGCAAAGTAAGGAAAAGGAATGAGGGGGGAAAAGGGCGAAGAAATTTAAAGGAAAGAAAGGAAAAAGAAAAAAAAGAATGGCAAAGAAACGAAAAGAAAAGGAAGGGAAAGGAAAGAAATGGAGAAATGGGAAAAGAGGAAAGAAAGGGGGAAAGGAAAGGGAAGGCAGAGCAATGAAACGAAAGAGCGCGGGGGCCGTGGCGGGGTGCACGGACGTGGCCCTGCACACGCGTGTGCAACCACAAACCCCTTCGGACACGGGAATGGGGGACAGGATCCCCCCCCACCCCCCCCACCGATCCCCACACCCCCACACGCCCCTCCGCAGCTGCCTCGTCGCCGTGTGCAGGTTTTATGAAGTTTTCTCTTTTTTTCCTTTTTTATGATTTTTTTTACACACAATTTCACGCACGGCTGCCCCGCAAACAGACCAGCCCCCCCCACCCCCCCACCCCCCCCCGCCGCAGCACAGCCCCTGCTCCCCACCGCCCTCCCGGCCCGTTTGTGTCCCGTTTCGTTCCTTAGCGCTGCCCGTGCCGCTGCCAACACCCCCCGTAACTACGCTCCCCAGAGCCCTGCGGCCTGGGGGGAGCAGACCCTGTCCGTCTTTCCATCCATCCATCCATCCATCCATCCATCCATCCATCCATCCATCCCTCCATCCATCTCCATCCATCCATCCACCCATCCTACATCCATCCCTGCATCCCTCTGTCCCTCCATCCATCCTTCTATCCTTCCATCCCTCTATCCTTCTATCCCTTCATCTATCCTTCCATCCGCTGTTGTGTCCCTGCACTCTCCATTCATGCCTGCATCCGTCCCTGCAACCTTCCCTCCACCCATTGCTACATCTATACCTGCATCCTCCCATCCCTGCATCTATCCCTGCATCCCTCTATCACTCCATCCATCCCTGCATCCCTCCATCTCTCCATCCCTTGACCCTCCCGAAACAACATCCCGGGCTCGATGCAGCGTTTCCCATCCCTCGGACCCCGTTCGCACCCTCTGGGGCATCTCCCCCTGCCCTGGGCTCGGGCTTGAGGGGGTTTGTATCCCACCGGCAAAAACCAACCCTGCCCAGTGGTTTAGAGCCGAATCCCGGGGTTACCGGGGTGTGGGGGGGCGTTAGGCACCAGCACTCCGTGAATGGGGCGAAAACGGATCGCGGTGCCTGAAGGTGGCTGCAAGCGAGTTCGTTTGGGTTTTATTTTCCTTCCTCTTTATTTCCCCTTTTTGTTCTTGTTTTAATTCGCTTTGGTTTGTTTTACCTTTTTTTTTTTTTTTGCTTTTGTTTTGCTTTGATTTATTTTGCTTTGCTTTCTTTTCTTTTTTTATTTTTTTTCCCCAATAAAAATAACCACCTACCAAATTCCCCTCTCCCCGCCCAGGCTCCATCTGGAAAGGAGGAATATTTCGCTCTCCTGAGCCTGGAAAACGACCGCCACGAGAGAGAAGGAAATAAAAGAACCCCGAAATCTTTCTCCTCCCTAAAGCGGCCCCGCAGACCGGGTTTAGCTCCGCTGGCCACGAAGCTCCCCGTAAATAAGGAGCCGTCAGATTATGCATCATCCTTTAATATTTACTCTTTTGAAGGTTAGACAGGGCAGAGGGAACAAACTCCGAATGGTTTTGGGGTTATTTTTTTCGTATTCCCCTTTTCCATCCTCTTCCCTACCTGGTTTTATGTGGTTTCTGGATTAATCTAGTGCGGAGCAGAAGCGGACTTTACCCGGCCGAAATACAGGATTAGGACTATTTCTAGAAGAAAGAGGACAGTGTGAACTGCCTTTAGCCTGCAATAGTCTAAAGCAGAATTACAGCTTGTAAAATAGGTCTCCATCAGTTTCCCAGGAGACGAGTTAAGCCCTACTTGGGTGTTCCAGCTCTTTTTAGAACCAGCAATAATTAGACTCATCTCACCCCCGAGTTGTCCGGTCCCGGGTTGAGTTGGGTTTTAAAAGATCATCAATAAACGCACTTTCTGCCCACAATCCATGGGCAGGGCAGGCAGCGGAGAGTTATCCCGCACTTATCCCGCCGAGGGGGCAGGTTTGGGAGCGGGAAGCGAGCCCTTCTTAACCCTCCCCACCGGAGCTGTGCCACCTTCTTTGTGCTTCCATGGTCATCGCTGAATGACACTGGGGGGGGAGCAACTAAATAAATGTTTTTCCCACCTCTCGGTGAATGGGAAGTCAGGAAAAATAATAATAAACCCCATATATATATATATAAATGCATATATATATATGAGTGAAGGATGGATAGTGGCTCATGTGGGGGCTCAGACCGGTTCCCCCCTCCCCGGCCCAATCCAGCTCAGCCCTCACCAACGCCACTGCTGCCCCTGGGTCCCCCTGCAAAATAAAGCCGGATTTGGGGGCAATTAACGACCGAAACGGAGCCGAGCGCTCAGCCCCGCTGTTAACGGGAGAAATGAGACCCGGAGACGGGGGGTGCTAAAGGAGCTGGGGGTACTCGGCTACAGGGAGAGGAGGGAAAACAGCGGGAGGTCGCGGGCAGAAAAGCAGTGACCCCCCATTCCCCTGCAGGGAGCGGGGGACGCTGCCTGGCCCCGGTGCGGGGTACGGGGCTGTGGTTCGGCTTCCCCCCGAGGGATGCTCCGAGGCGGCCGCAAGACAGGACCCTTCATCCCACTCTCGTCCCCCTCCCTGCAGGGGCGACAGGCCTTTAATGACAAGTAATTGGCGAGCGCGCAGAGCTGCATTACGAGCCGGCCGGGCTGTTATGAATTATTGAGAGCCCATTAGTCGCCGAGCGGCTCTTGCCGGCGGGATGTGACCCGCCACGGCTGAGCGGGGACGGGGACACGGGCATGGGCACGGATATAGACCCACCCGCTCCGGCCCTCACTAAGACCGGCCCCCGGACCTCCCATCCCGGGCCATACACCCCCCGCGGGAAGCATCCCGGGATCCGCCGCCCCGCATCTTCCCCCCCCCGGGCCGTGCCACCCGTGTCCGTGTCCGGTGCGGAGCGGGGAGCCCCGGGAATGGGATCCCGGCGAAACTCCCGGGTTTTTCCTTATATCGAGGAACTGTTTAGGGTTTTCCCTGTATTTTGTTGCCGGGAAGCGGGGCCGGGCCCGCGGGGCCGGCTCTTGGCCGGTGACAAGGGAGGAATCACACGGCTGTGGTGACTCCCAGCCCGGAACCACAGAGAGCCACGGAGGGAAAAAGTCGAAGGAGGGGGGGTGGTGGTGTTTAAATTAATACAATTCATAATAACAATAACAATAATGACTAAATAAAGATAAATATTAACCAAGCAAGTGTCCGCTCGCACGTCTCCGACCCGCCGCCGACCCCGCCACAAGGTTTCCCACCCCGTAGCACCGAGATCTGGTGTTGAACAGGGCAGAAACAGCCCCAGACCCCCCCTTGTCTCCCCTGTCCGCGCTTTCCCCCCCCCCCCCCCCCAAAAAAAACAGCCGGGAGAAGGGAGGCGGCGGGGATGGGGCCCCCCAAAACCCGCTGGGAGGATCCATCCGGTGCCGCCGCTCCAACGAGCCGGGGAGGAGGAAGAGGAGGAGGAGGAGGATGGACCCGAAGGAGAGGAAAGGGAAGGAACGGCGGGCGTCACCTACCTGCGCCCCGGCCGCCGGCCCGGCTCTGCGGGAGCCGGGAGCATCCCGGCATTTATGGGAGCCGAAACTGTGCTGGTGTTGACTTTAGCACAAAGCAAAGATTTCGCTGCCCGCTAGTTTAAAAATGAATATTTTACCAAGATATCGATCAGCTTTATAAAATTCAGTTAAGCACAATGGCTCGAAAGGAGCGCGGGGGGGTGGGGGAAGGAAGGAAAGGGACGCAATATAATATCTGTGTAAATTTGCTGAAGTATGACGTGGTGTTGAAAGTTTACCCTCCTGGAATTTGGATCTAGATTCCCCCCCCCTTTTTCTTTCTTTGCCCCCCCCCCCCTTTTCTTTTTTGTTTACTGACTTTGTTTATTCACAGATCACGGTCTCTTAAACCGGCGGGAGCAGAAGCGGTTGCAACGGGGCTGGGGGGGTGGGCGAGGAGGGGGGAATACACCGAGAAGGGGCTGGGGAGAAGAAGGAATAACGCTCATAGTGAGCCTATTTCCTTTTATTCCCCGTCTGCCCCAAGTCCTCCTCGTTGCGTTTCAGCCCGAAACAGGCCAGAGGAAACGGGGAAAAGGAAGGAAAAATAAAGGGAACTGAGGGAAAGCGGCTTGTGGAGCATCCCGAGGCCGGTACCGGCGGGGCGCGGAGCCCCAACCGGCGGCACCCCCGCGCCCGTGCTCTTCCCTGCGGGAGCCTTTTATGTGCTAATGAAACACATTGCATGCCTTGGTTCACAACGTGTGTGTCCTTCCCGTATAGAGACGGACAGATTTCTGCCTGGATCCCTGTTTTGTTTTTTTTTGGGGAAGGTTTTTTTTTCCACCCCCACCCCCTTTCCCACCCCCCCTTTTTTTTTTTTTCCTCCCCTTTTCTCTTCCCGCGGACAATGCGGAATTTTAAGAAGGATTTGAATGTTATTTCGCAAAGCAACGTCTACGAGCGCCGTAAACGCGTGGGAAAACAACAAGTGGTTGGGAGGACGGGCGGGAGATTGCAGCGGGGAGGGGGCAAAGACATGGAAAATAACCCGGGGGTGTCTATGGGGCGGCCGGGAGAAGCGGGAGGGGAAGGAGACATAAAGAGCATCCCGGTTTACCGACGCCGGTTTCGCGAGGTTCCAGGGGTCCCCCCAATTCCCACCGCTCGCAGGGGTGAGGAGCTGCCCCGACGGGGTGTCCCCCCCGAGCAGAGGGGCTCTTTGCTAGGGGCAGAGGCTCCCCGACCCCTCTCTCGTCCCTTCCCCGTGTTGAGCTGCTCCGGGGGGACCCGTCGGGAGTGGAGTGGGACGGCACCGCACCGTCGGAGCGGCGGTGGGACCCCGGCCCGGCCGAGGAGGAGAAGGAGGAAGAAGCGGGCGAATCCCGGCGGAACAGAGATGCAGGGGGAAAAAAACCGCCAATAACACTTTAATAGAGTTCTGTGAAAATCTGGCTAGTCGCTACCAGAATACACATTTATAAGCCATAAATAAAGCGTACAGAAACGATAAATTAATCAGATCCAAGTAGTTTACTCTCCCGGTAACATCAAGCGTTTGTTTCAATTACAACGATCTATCCTGACTTTTTTTATTATTATTATAATTTTTCACAATTTTTTTCTCTTTTTTTTTTTCTTTTCTCTTTTTTTTTTTTTTACCCCTCTTTTCCCCCTTTTTTACAATATTACAAGACTTTTGGTCCTGGGATTCCAAACTAGCGTGGGTTTCACACTGAAGGAGGGTTTCGTTTTGCTTGTGTTTCGTTGTGGTTTTTTTCTTCCCCGTCACTTCCACACAAAAAAATAGATATATTTATACCTCCTTGCGACGACGACAACGAAAAGTAATAAAATAAGCCCAATAGAACCCCCTTTTCCCCATCCCTTCGCCCCCAACCCGTCCCTCCCCACCAAAACCAAGGGAAAACAAGGGAATTGCAGCCCAACCCCAGCACAGGTGGCTTTGGGGGGTGACCCCCGAGATGCTTGCGAGACACACGGCTGCTGTTTCCCGAATGGATGCAAACATCTGGAGCCAACGGAAAAGGAAATAAAAAGAAAATATATATAGATATATATATATGTATATGTACCGTGCTCGAGAGCGTTCATAGTCCACTGCTCTGCCAGGGGCTGCATGGGGGTACCGGGGGCTGCCCCCCTCGATGGGGAGGTGGGTTTTCCCCTCACCCCTTTTAGGAGGAGTTCATGATGGGCCGGGAATACACACCTTGGTAGTAAGAAGTCTCTCCGGCTAAAGGGGAGGACTCTAAGGCGTTTTTGTTCGTTACGGGCCCCATGGCCAGGCTGCCGGGCATGGGCGAGGCGTAGCCCGAGTAGTGCATCACCTGCTCGTAGGCCTTCAGGTCCATTTTGTGGTGGTGGTGGTGGTGGTGGTGAGGGTGGTGGTGCTGCTGCTCGGAGGAGGACATCAGGTTGTTGATGGAGAAGGGGTGGTTGAAGGCGTAGTGGTGCTCGGGCTTGAGGTGGGCGTCATGGGGCAGGCCGGCGTGCGGGGGGGCCAGGAGGTGCTGGGCCGGTGAGGATGCTGGCTCCCCGGGGCTCAGCCCTGGTGTCCCCTTCAAGTCAGCCAGGGCTCGCTTGTGGTCCTGGCACGGCGAGGTGCTGGCCGGGGACTCAGCACCGGCAGAGCCTTCGGAGCCCCCCGAGGAGCTGCCTTCCCCTAGGGGCTGGCTCGGGGGCTGCCCGGGCCCCTTCTTGCCCCCACCACCCGCTCCACCGCCCGCCCCACCACTGTCCTTGGAGGCCAACTGCTTCTCGCACTTGAAGCGCTTCTGGCGGCGCAGGTAGCAGCCGTTCTCAAACATGTTGCCCGAATCGGGATGCAGCGTCCAAAAGGAGCCTTTTCCCGGCTTGTCCGGGGAGCGGGGCACCTTGAGGAAGCAGTCGTTGAAGGACAGCGAGTGGCGGATGCTGTTCTGCCAGCGCTGCTGGTTCTGGCGGTAGAAGGGGAAGAGGTCCATGATCCACTGGTAGATCTCGCTCAGCGTCAGCATCTTGTTGGGTGACTGCTGGATGGCCATGGTGATGAGGGAGATGTAGGAGTAGGGTGGCTTGGCGTGCGTGTAGCTGCGCCGGTAGGTCTTGGGGTCCCGCGAGCGGTTGAGGTTGGACTGCCCGTAGATGGGGCTCATGGAGTTCATGTTGGTGTAGGGGGCCAGGGCGTTCATGGAACCCGCTTGGCCACCCATAGGGCTCATGCTGGGGCTCAGGTGAGTGCCCATCCCTGCCACACCGGCTGAGCCCATGCCAGGCATGGCCCCCGTGCCCGGGGACATGCCGGTGAGCGAGGGGCTCATGCCCGTGTTGGCGTAGGACATGTTCATAGAGGTGGCGGCCGTCATGTTGGCCGTGGTGCTCATGGCCGACATGGTCATGTACGTGTTCATGCTGTTCATGCCCAGCCCCGCGTTCATGTTGCTCACCGAGGAATAACTCTGCAGGGGCAAGCGAAGAGAGAGGAGGGAGATTTTGGGGGGGGGGGGGGGGGGGGACAAGACGGGGTGGCCCCGCCGGGGACGCGGGGAGCCGTGGGGGGACCCCGCAGCCCAGCCCAGCCCAGCCGGTAGCGCCGCCGGTGAGAGCGTCCGCAGCGCCGGGGCTCCGTGCCCCGCGGGGCAGGAAGGGTTAAATCCCGGAGGGGGGGGTGGGGGGGTGGGGGGGGTGGGGGGGTGGGTGTTTTTCTTGTTAATGAAAAGCAAATATATATTAAATAAAACAAAACAGAAGCGGGACGGGGTGGCCGCAAGACCGGCGGCTCCGTCCTGGGAGCGGGACTGGGAGCGAGGGGAAGGGGAGCGAGAGAAATACCTGGAGGAGAGGGAAGGGGAACGGGAGGGGGGAAATAGCGAACGGCAGCCCGCACCCTGCCCGCTCCCTGCCCGCGCCCTGCCCGCTCCCTGCCCGCTCCTCGCTCAGCCCTCGGTGCCGAAGTTGACCGTGTCCCGGGGCTGGCACGGCGATGGGGACCCCAGGACACCCCCCCCCCTCCCAACCCCTCAATTCCCGGTCTCCCTTTGCTTACCTCGGGCTCCCCGTAGTAGTTGCTCCAGTCCGTGTGCTCATGGCCTTCCATTTTCACCGCTCCCAGCATACTGGAAGTGGAGTGCATGGCAGTTTAAAATTTAACAGCCACAACAAACGACGACAGAGAGCAACCCCCCCAAAAAAAAAACGGGGGAAAAAAAAGCGCCGAGCCCTCCCTCCCCTCCGACGGAGCCTCTGGAGGAGGAGGAAGAGGAGGGAGGGAGGAAGGGCGGGGGGGGTGTCGAGCGGCGCTGGCGCTGGTTTTTTAATCGCTGCTACTCCTTGGGTGGGTTTTCTCAGCGCTTCGCGGTGAAGAGTCGCCCGGAGGCGATGGAGGAGCCGGAGGAGGAGGAGGAGGAGGAGGAGGAGGAGGGAGGAGGGAGGAAGAAGAGGAGGAGGAGGAAGAGGAGGACAAGTGCTGCAGTGACGTGGGTGCCCGAGTGATATAGCACGGAGCGGCCGGGCGAGCCTCCAATCCCCAGGTCCTCGGCTGCCCATTTGAATAATCAGCTCACACCTAAGCGGGAGAGGCTCCTCCGCGGCCCCCCGCGCACCTATCCGCACCCCGCCGCGCAGGGACGACCTCCCCCGGACCCGGCTTCCCCCCGGTTTGCAGGGGGATCCAGTGGGAACCGATATCCACAGCCCCAGTTTTTCCCCGGGCACCCCAGAAGGGAGCCGACCGACACCAACCACCCCCCCCCCCCAGCACCCCCGACGGGAGCTGCCTCCCCCCCCCACATCGCCGCCCCGACGGGAGCACCCCCGTCCCGAACGCACCTTTCCTCCCCGCGGTGCTCGGCGGAGTCCCGGTGCCGGGCTCAGGCCGCCGCCCGCCCGCCCGTGCCGCGGCTCGGCCCCATCGGCGGGCCCGGCAGCCGCCGCTCTGGCTCTGGCCCGGGCTCCGGCTCAGGTACCTACAACAAATTCGTAACTAAAACAAACAGGGAGGGCGGGGAGGGTGAGGAAAGGGGGGGGGGGTGGGGGGTGGCTCGGCGGGAAGCGCCGTCGGGGGCCCCGGGGGCTCCCCTGGCGCCGGGACGGGAGGTGCGGGGTCCCGGTGGGCGCCGTCGGGGGCAGCGCTGCCGCTCCGAAAAGCCCCCGGCAGCCTCGGAGAGAGGAAAAGAGGAAGGAAGGAAATAAGGACAGACGGACGGACGGACGGACGGCAAAACCCACCCGGCTCCAAAACCCACCCGGCTCCGCCGCCCGCCC